CAAGTGTCCCAGCTGTGCTGCCTCCAGGCTGCCCCACCCACACCTGAGCTTTTAACCTCTCAGCGGGCACCCAAGTCCAAGGCAAAATCTCTGGCTCAACTATGGACTGCTGCTCGGTGGAGCTTCAGACCTCCACTGCGCACCCAACCGCCCTGCAGATGTCCACAGACCCGTCCTCATCCCCCACACCCTCCTGCTCATCCCCAGGGATCTGCCAGTCTCAGTGCCACTCATTAGCCTATATGGTGCCTTTGAATCAGAAAAAGGTGCCCCTCCATCCAGGTGACACAGGCCCAAGCCAGGTTTCAGGGCCTGGTTAGTGGAGGCACAGTCTCAATAACCCCATGCAGAGTCCCTGACGCCACCATCTTACAGCTTGTCCAGGACAGATACTGGGACTCCTCCTTGACTCCTCCTCTCCTCCCCTCCCCTCCCCTCCCCTCCCCTCTCCTCTTCCCTTCTCTTCTCCCTCTCTGTCTCATATCAAGCTCTCTCTGAAGGTCAAGGGTCTCCAGCGAACAAGGTCTCAGAAATGGTATCATCTCTCACCCTCTGGAAAAAGGGCGCAGGGCAGAAGCCATTGGCTCCCAGACCATTTCTGAGAGGAGGGAAGATGCGACATCAGTATAGAAATGGCCAAGTGCCCAAAGCTGGCCCCACAGGTAGTGCATGGATCGTGAGGTATGCAAGGAGGGACACAGAGGCCCAGAGGCCCGTGCAGCTCATGCACGAGAGACCCAGGAGGTGCTGGCACAACTTAACGGGGGTCCCGGGACCACACCATGGGCAGGCCTCTGTTCCCAGCGCTAGAGGGAGAAGAGCCCTGCCTGAAAGTCAAGTTTGAAGGCTCTGCTGAACCGCCCCTTCCTATAGAGTGTGTAGCCACCAGGTGGCAGACACGAGCAGACAGAGGGAGAGCAGCCAGGAACTGAATGAAGGCTGGAGGGACCAGCAATGTTCAGGAGAGCTCCCAGAACCGTCCACCAGAGAGACGCAGACAGAAATAAGGAGATACAGAGAGATAGCAGATAGAGACAGAGGCAGAGAGAGAGACAGGGGAAGAGAGAGGGACAAAGGAGAATACGTGCATGTGTATGGACACACACACAGCTGGGCAGAGGTCTGGAGTTTAGTCCCCTTCCTTTGGGTCTCTTCACCACTCCTTGGGCTTCCCTTCCCTTGTCCAGCCCTGTCCTGGGTAGTGGTGATACAGACAGGGATGTGACCCATTCATGAGAAGCTCCTAGACCTGGGGCTGGGGCTGGACACAGATAAACAAACAGCATAGTAGGGGTGAGGGGTGCAGAGACAGAGAGATGTGCAGGGGCTGGAGTTGCCCAGAGACAGTGCCTGACCCAGGGGTGGGGGGAGCGTCCTGGAAGAAGTGACACCTATGCTGACCATAGAGGGCTTTCTGGCGAGTCTAGGTACACTATCTTGGTCTCCTCCCAGCAGCCTGCAAGGAAGATACTACAGAACTGATTTTATAGGCAAGGGAATGGAGGGTCTGAAGGGCTGGGGTTCCACAGGCAGAGAGGAGCAGAGCTGGAATTCAAACCAGAGTCTGCAAGTTTTGGGCCACTGTGCACACTGCCAGGGACAAAAAACTGGGAGGAGAGCTGAGCTGGGGAGTCAAGACCCCTAGCCAGGTCTGGACAGGAGGCAGGTGCCTTTCCCCCTGGTCCCAGAGCTAGTTCTGATGGCTTCAGCCATCTGACTTGCCTGCGAAGTCAGCCCAAGAGGAGAGGGCAGAGTGTGTGTGACTTGGGCCTCCCCCCTGGCACCTCTGCCCTTGGCTGGGGGCGGGGACTCTGCCCAGCAGGAGTCTTCACCTGGTGGCCCTTGAAGCACAATAAACAAATGTCCTGTCTACAGGTGTTACTCTGAGTATGAGGAATGTAACCTTGAAACTCATGGTGACCACCTGGCACTCCATCCTAAAACAGGTGACACTCTGAAGAGAGAACTGCATAGCCTTTTCTCAAAACCAACTCCTGGCTGGAAGTTCCTCTTCAAGTCGAACTGAAGTGAGCAGCGCGGCGTCCCCCTCCCACGGTGCGGTGCCCGGGAGGCCTTCCTGTCCTGTCCGAGTTGGGTGCAACGGGTAATGTAAACCTGCGAGACTGACACACTTTAGGTAGAGGAGGAGGAAGAAAGGTGCGAGCCCTGTTTCGGGAAGCAGGAAGAGCAAGAATGTCCTCAACAGTGAAAGACCGTGCAGGCCGGGGCCAGGGCTCGGGCAGCCTGAGCGCTGTGGCCCCGGGCGGTGGAAGGGGCCAGGGGGAGATGGTGCCACGAAAAGAAGCGACAGTCCCAGGGGGTGGTGGGACTCGCCGGGCCAAGGGGTGGCAGCAGGGCAGTTCGGGAGGGAAGGGAGAGCTGGGGCAGAGGCAAGAGGCAGAGGCAGCCGGAAAGGAAAGGAGAAGCCAGCGGGGAGGGAGGTGGGGACTGAGCTCCCGCGGAGGAGCAGGGGGAGACCCGACAGAGAGGCAAAGATGGAGACGGGGAGCAGACAGAGACGGATAAAGGCTGGAAGAGACAAAGGGAGAGCGGCTGGGCGGGAGGAAAGGCTGGGAGGCCGCAGGAAGAGAGGAGCAGCGCCGGCCTTGGGGGCTCCTGCCGGGCCCAGCCCACCCCTCGGCAGCGGGTCCGCCTGTCTGTCGCTCAAGCTCGGAGTCCCCTCCCCCAGGCCGGCAGAGGGCTCGCCCCAGCCCCGCCCAGTCCAGAGGCGCCCCCTCCCCAGGCCCTCGGAGGCCGCCCCCTGGGGGCTGGTTGGGGGCCCGCTAGATGGTTGGGGGCCCAGCTGGTGCGTTATCAGCCTCCTCCAGGAGCGAGCCTGAGCCACTCCGCGGCTGCCAGTCTGAGATTAGGCCCCCGGAGGGTCATTAAGCGGCTGTCCTGGCCCGGGCCCAGCCTCCTTTCCCTCCCTGATCCGGCAGGGCTGGCAGGTGGGACCGAGCGATAAGGATTGAGGGTCTCGCGGTTCTGGGGCCGGCGGTTCCCTGCTCCCAGGCCCTGGTCAGGGCAGGAACACGGGGTGGAGGTGAGGGGCTGTAAGGTCAGTGCTGGCCCGCCCCCGCAGGGGCCCCCACCGCTCCCACCATCCAAGTCCTGCCCAAATTGAGAGAGACAGAATGGGGAGGGGGCCAAGGGGCTCTCACGGAGGCTCCACCCCAGGCAGCTGCTGGGGAACACGGGGAGTCCAGGCAGAAGCAGGCCCTCCTGGTGAAACCTCACAGGTGTGAGGGGCTGGGCTTCACCTGCTGCAGGGAGAGGGGACAATGGCTCTGCCTTCAGACCCTGGCAAGCTGGTGGGGGAACCAGACTTGACCCCACCCCCATGCCCTCAAGGACAACTGGGGACAGAGGTGGGAATGAATGTGGCCTCATGCAAGGAGAATCAGATTGGGCCAGAGGCTGGAAAGGTAGATATTTGTGCCTTAGCAGAAGCCTCACCTTCCAGGAATCTTTGCCTGTCCTCCAGCTAGTGAGAAGCTGTGGGCTGGTGGCCTGGCTAGGCCCTGATCTAATCAAGGAAGTCTTCCCAGAGGAAGAGGAATCTTGGCTGGGCCAAGAAAAAGAATAGGCCGAGTTTAAACTGGCAGAGGTGGGGTAGGAAGGCATGAGTCCCAGAAAGCCATATGAGCAAAAGACTAGAAAAGGAATCACGAGAGCAACAGCTACAATTTATTAAGCTGAAGCCCAGAGTGGGGAGGGAACTTGTCCCAAGGCACCCAGCAAGGCAGAGGTAGTCTGGGGCAAAGAGGCTGCTCCCCTCAGGTCTCTTCCCTCTGTTGCAGGCTGCTTCCTGAGCCCCAGTGAGGTGAGAAGGGATCATTCTGATTCAAGATGGGCTTTCCCCAGAGGTTTCTGTATGAACCTTGGAACAGTGACAGAATGGCTGTGATGGTGACGCTCAGGGCTGCGGGGAGCTGAGACAGCAACGGAGGAAGATCCGTGGGTCAAGGTGGACTGCCTCCTGCTCTCTATCCCCGCTCCTCTGGGTCTGGGCATGCTCCTGGGTGAGCCTGTCTCAGACTATCACCCCAGGCAGAGAGACAGAAGCTGTTCCCAGAAGACTGACAGTCACATAGGTGAGGGACCGCCCAGGTCAGCCAGAAAGTCATGCCTATCTTCCCCTCTGTCTCCTGCTTCACCCCCACTAGCACATAGCAGGACTGGGAGTCAAGGGCATTGGTGGGGACTGGGTTCTACTCCAGCTCTACAGGGAAGAAGCTGAGCACAGCAACTCTCCCAAGGCCACGCAGCAAGTTGGCAGGGGACCCAAGACTCAAATCTAGGCTTCCGGAGTCTCAACCCCAAACACTGGCACTTCCTGTGCCAAAGCTCAGCACAGAGGGAGTGTGGAGGGGGATAGAGCTAGATCTATAAGACGAGTGAGAGATGGTAAGCCCACCACAATGCTTCCAGCATGAAGACAGGGGACAGGGCTGCATGACGAAGGGCCCAGAATCTCAGGCGTGGAGGGTGTGTTGGGGGACGAGGGCTTGCAGAGGGGACCTCGGGCTGAGAGGGTGAGCTCCTGGCCCGTGAGCCCTCTGACACTCTCCCGTCATACACAAAAGAGAACCTGGGGCACATCTTGAAACTTCCCAGCCGTAAGGGCACCCCGCTCACACCAGTGGCTGCCCTACCCCAGGAAGCCTCTCCTGACTGCCCTGGTCAAAGGGAAGGTTTAGCCTGAGGGGACAAAGACCGTGACATCAGCAGGGATGAGCTCCCGCCCCTGGCTCACGGCCTCCTGAGCTCTTGCATGCAAGGGAGCTCATCAGACACTGTCGTTAGAGGGTGCTTCACGCTCAGACACCAGAAGAGACACCACCCTCCTTTACCCTGACCCAGGACACTGACCTTCTGCCCCTCCTAGCCTGGACCCCCTCAGCTTCAGCCACCCTGTGGGTACAGGGCTTCCTGGGCAATCCTCCAAAGCCACTGTGACAGCAGCTTCGGAAGGCAATTGTCAAAATTCAGAAAGCAAGTTCGGGCCTCGCTGGAAGCCTGAGGGGCTATTTCTGAGCCTTGGCCCCAGAAGTACAAAAAGTCTTTATTTCACAGAAATAAGGGCCATTTCCACAGTTACAGGGAAAGACACAAAAGGCAGGATGAGAGGTGCTGCGCTGACTGTCATCATAAGGCTCTGCTGACCGGGCGGGACGGCTCGGGGGCCGCAGCCAAGCCCCAACCTGGACGCAGTCTGAGCTCCAGCTTCGGCTGGCGATGGTTCGGGGGAGAGTGGAGTGCTGTGGGGATGGGGGAGTTGGCCCATATTGTAGATTCCTGCTCAGAGAAGGAAGAGGCTCGGGCGGTGGCATTGGGCATCCATCACAGGTGCCAGGGAGCCTCAGGGCAGGAGCCACATGAGCTAGGTTCACATCTCACATCGGGGTGCTGCGGACCCTGCCCTCCTCCTCGGGAACGTTCTCGTAGGCATTCTCATGCTCACTGGACCTGAAAGTGGATGGCAGGGTCCTGGTGTGTCCTCACGCCTCCCAATCCTTCCCCTTCTCCCTGCCCGTCTGGCACACGTGAGGACAATATCTTCCAGAATAAGTGTTTGACTCCCAGAAGGGGGTTCCCCAACCCCATCTGGGCTTGTGCACCTGAGACAGGAAGCCTCTCAGCACTCCTGAACCCCACCTCCCTCCTCTATGGGGTGCTCTGCCACTGGGTCCCACCGAGGAATCCTCTCCCATGGCACCCATTCTACTGAGCCCTGCCTCACACTGAGCCCCCACTCATTCATCCCTTCACCAAAGTCCCTTCCCCAGTGAGCCCCTTCCCCCACAGCACCCACTGCCCCATGAGCCCCAATCCACCTGCTGAGCCCCCTCCTGCCAAGTCCCCACCCCAGATGGAGGCTGCCTCTCCCCACAGAGCCCTGCAGTGCTCACAGAGCCCCCACCCCCCACCCGCTCACTGGTCTTTCCCCGCATAGGTCCCTGTCTTCCCTAGCCCCTCCCCTTCAGCAGCACCTGGTCCTGAGGTCTCCCCCGGCCCTTGGGGCACAAGGCAGGCAGCCCTGTGTGGCACCTCACCTGAAGCCGGCCGCCATTGAGGAGTACCTTCCGTCCGTTCCCACCAGGACCCCATCGGCCTTGTTTCCGACGGTCATGACCATGTTCATGGGCTCCCTGGGGACAGGGCTAGTCAGTGGGCACAGCAGCAGGGCCCCCCATCCAAGCAGACCCCATCTCAGGTGCTGGTTCTCACAAGCCCACAGGGCAGCGGCAGCCCCTTCACAGAGCACCCTTGTCCCGAGGGCCCTCCAACTGGGCCCCACCATGGGGACCAGGAATTTTTGAAAGGCTTCTCCACATGCCAGGCCCTCTCCACGCCCCCAGCTGCCTCAGCTCAGCCCCAGAGCAGGCCCAGCAGGACGTCCCTGCTCCAGCACGGGGCTCTGCCCCCAGGCCCTGGAAGCTGCTCCCATGGGACTTTACACCTGCTCCTCTCGCCTCAGACATCCCACAGGCACCTCAGACCTCCTATGTCCCCAGTTAAATTTAGCAGTTGCCCAGATCTGCTCGTCTCCTGTGCCCTGTGCCTCAGTGAGTGGCCCCAGTGAGAAACCCCAGCGTCAGCTCCCCGGCCCTCCTCCCCTCATGTCTGCTCCGATCTCCGTCCAGCAGCTCGCAGGGGTCCCCTCCTAGACAGCTCGCAGGCCCGCTCCCATGGCCAGACCCAGGCTCCCCCCGACCTCATGCCCAGCCTCCTTGTCCACACCTGCAGACTGACTGGCCATGCGTGATTCTGCTGTGGCAGGTCCCATCCCAGGACTGGCTTAAAAAGACTTGTCACTGGACTACCATTGCACTAAGGTAAAGCCCAAAGTTCAGGTCACTGGTGCACAAGGGCCTGCTCAGTCATCTCAGGCCTCTCCATCTCTTTCCACACCCCCGAATTGCTTGGGTTGCCTTGGCACCCGCAAAGGACGGCTGCTGGCACCCAGGCTACTGGGCCACCTTTGTGAGAGCTGGGGAAAGACACCCCTGGGGACAGAGGTGGCCTTGCCCCAGGTCCTGGCCTGGACTTCAGCCCACCTGCTCTTGCTCTTCTTGCGAGTGACCAGCCCTGGCACCCTGCTCCTGGCCCAGGCCCTGGGAGCACCCTTCCCTCCACTGCAGCTCTTGCCAGGCTACTGTGTCCCGTGGCCGACTCTCGTTCTCCAGGTTTCCCAATGAGCATGCAATGGGGAAGCCTCCAACTGACTGCCCACCCCAGGCCAGGCCCCACCGTGCTGTCCCGACTCCCCAGTGGCAGCAACACTTGAACCCGTGATTGCTCGTCCGGCCTGGGCCCGTGAAGGCAGCCGCCTCGTCTGTCCCACGGCCCCTCTGTACCACCACTGACCCTCAAGAAGGACGGGGCCTCCCTTTCCAGAGGTTCTCATAGCCCCTCACCGGCGGGCACCGCCCTGACTCTGCAGATAGAAACATTGAGACTCCAAGGAGAGAAGATGCTTCGTCCGCGCCCACGGGGAGTGAGCACGAGAGCTATGGTGCTACCAGCTCAGGGCTGGGAGCCAACAAGCCTGAGATCTAGTGCACAACTCACCCCATGACCTTGAACCTCAGTTTCCCTTCCACACAATGACAAGACTGGACCCAGGGACCCAGGGTTTCTGAGGCCCTTCTCACAGCTCCTAGAACAAGAGCAATTGGAGGCTTCCCCATTGCTGAGCCCTTTCTGCCTGCTCAGGCCAGCCCGGCCCCCAGGCCCTCCGGCAGCACTCACGGCTCTTCCTGGCACCAGAAGCGGTTGACAGCAAAGGCAATTGCTACGAGGACCAGGAACACGGCCACAGCGATGAGGCCCTGCATCCAGGGCTGAAGTTTCCCCAGGCCTGAAAAGAGGTGGGGGATTGTAGCAGGCTGGGGAGGGAGGGGCCTCATGCCCCAAGGGCTGGGGCTTGTGTTGGAGGCCATCAGCAGTGGCCAGGACCAAAGGACACATTCTGGAATGGCAGGGGTGGGGATGTGGGCCCACTGACCCCCAATGAGCTGAAGAAAAGGATGGAGTTGGAGGAAGAACAGAGGCCCAGAGAGAAGACAGGAGTTGGAGGAAGGAATGATTAGCCAAGCAGGGGACAGGCTTCAGAGTGCTGAGATCCAGTGCTGAAAGCCTCTTCTCTTCCCCCCCACCATGGGTCACATGTGGGGCCCCCCAGGGAGTGCCTGGGCCCCAGGGACCAAAGGGCAGCCCCCTGGACAGCGGCCTAGGCTGTGCTAGCTGGGAGTGGCTCCCAGAAGGCTGAGGAGGGCCCAGAGCTGGCAAGACTGGGCTGGCATCTGGAAGATCCTGTTCTGTAACAAGAGGTTTCTCTGGTTCTGGGAAGGGTGTGCCTGTGGGGAGCAGCAAAGCTGCTCAGCTAGGGGTGCCCAGCTGCCCAGGGAGAGGAGTGTACTGGGACGTCCAAGAGGCAGGCCAGAGGGGCGAGCTTCTCTCTGGGTCTTGGGGGCTGGAAAGGAAACCAAGCCCCTTTTGTCTCCTCCAGCTGGGTGCCCAGAGGCCTAGGGTGAGAGACCAGGTGGAGGCCCCAGCCATGCACCCTCCTCCTCTTCTCAACCCTGACAACAATTCAGACCCTCAAGATTTCCCAGAAGGCCTGGCCCTCAGGCCACCGGCAGCTCCAGAGGCTCTCCTCTCTGCCTGGCCTCACTGAGCTCCACAAGCCTGAGGGAGCCCAGTCCTGCAGAGGAAAGACACTCAGTGGGCAGAGGTCCCAGGAGGGAACATAGGTCTACAGGAAGTTTGTGAGGGGTCCTGCCTCCAGAACAAAACACCTGCATCTCTAGAGCCATCCTATACTTTGAGGAGCCCAGGCTGGGCATCCAAAAACCTTACACTGCCTCAGTCCCACTCAAAAAGTCCTACCTTGAGTCTACCCTAAACCTCTCCTGCTGCAGTGAAGGCCTAGCCTCTTCTCTGAGCCTGGCAGGTACTGGAAAGGAGAGTGGAGGCTGGGTATTCTGGCCTGTGGCCAGGTCAGACCTTGCTAATCTCTAGGAGGAGCAGAAGAGACACAGTGCGGTTACCCTGCAAGTTCCACACCTGCCAAAGCACAATGCTTTGGATTCATTACTTCCCCCAGAGAAACAATGATTCAGACTCACTGCTCACTCAGGTCAGTGGTTGCTCAAGCACTGGGAGTTAGGGCTCTACCCTGGGAGGCCCCCTCCCTGCTTGCTCCAGACCCTGTGGCCAAGTCCCTCCTGTCACAACAGAAACTGCATTTCCCTGCTCCTCTTCCCATGTGGCTCTGGCACTAGCACCTAGAGCAAGGGACAGAGAGCTTGGGGCAGGAGGAAGGTGTCTGAGTCCTGTTCTTTCTTGCCCTGCTGTGTGACTCATATAAGCTACTCAACCTCTCTGGTCTTCAGTTCCCCAGAGGGCTTCCAAGATCTGGGAGACAAAGTTGAAGCAGACATACATGGGAGCTCAGGTGGTGAGCATTGCTATGGGGGTGAGGGTGGGTGCTATCGGGGTAAGGGTAAGCCCAAGGGGTAAGGGTGCTCTGGAAGCATTTTTGCCAGACTGCTCTGGACCTAAGTCCCACCTGCTGTCACCAGACTTTGGCTGCAGATGCCAGATCTTAGGGCGCGGTACTTCATCTAGTACAAAGCCCTTCCATAACCCTGACTTTGGCAGTAGCCCTGGGAGGTAGGCAGGGTGGGGTTTATTGTTTTCATTTTATGGGTGAGAAAACTGAGTCTCAGAGAGCTGTGATTTGCTCAAGGCCACGCAGCAAGACAGGCAGAGCTGGAGGAAGAACTCAGGTATGTGGAAGGACCACCCTGGACACCTCTCTCCACCCAAGCCCAGGAAGCCAAAACAGTGAGGACTTAGGTCAAAGCCATGGGCAAACCCCTGACAGCACTGTCCCTCCCTGAAGCAAGCCTGCCTCCAAGGGGTGGCTTAGGCCCCCCAACCCTCCTTTTTGCCCCTGGCCCTGCACTCAGGACCAGCCATCCCTAGGGCAATGCCTGCTCGTGGGGCTTGACCCAACTCCTGCTCCTCCCCCAGATCCTGAACCCAGCACTTCCCTGCTGCCCCATTTCTCATCCATGGAAATCAAGTCACAGACAGAGATCTGGCTCAGAGGTCTCCCTTGGGAGGATCTTCCAGCTAGCCCAGTCTCTGCTCCCCACGAAACTAGAGGGAACGCCACCCATCAGCCCCTGGGTCACCAGCGCCCAGCCCGGCCCCCTCCTCCCTGCAGCCACTGGGGCTGGCCCAGTCCTGCGCTACCTTGTTGACAGCTGGCAGGTGGCACTGTCACCAGCAGGCCCAGAATGACCAGGCTGAGGGCTGACATGGCTGCAGGCAGCTCCTGGGCTTCCTTCCTGCCGCCGGCTCTGGGCTCCTGGAGCCGCTGTGGAGTCTGTTGGTGTGGACCTGAGATCAACCGGGCTCTGTCTGGCCCTGGAGGAAAGGAGCTGGCAGGGAAGAAGGGGAGGGGAGGAGAAGGGAAGGTGGGCGGTGGAGGGAAACTGCCCTCCCTCCCATGGTAATGAGCTGCCAGCCTGGCCTCCCCTGGCCTGGGCCCAGGGCTCATTGGAGTCACCTTCCAGGGGCCAGCTAAAGAGGCGGGTCCTAGGGCCAGGCAGAGGTGAGGAGAGTCCCAGCCTTGTCTCCAAGTCCCTGAGCTCCCCCTTCCTGGCAGTGGGGCTGGGCTCTGGGAAAGGAGTGACACGTTGTCACACCTGCCTTGACTGAAACCAGTGGGCGGGGTTTTGTGGAAAGCTGACAGCGGGATTAAGAACTTTACTGGCAGGCCTGGGAAAACTAGAGGCTCAACATCCTCCCCTCCCAGAGCCTGGCCTGTTTCCTCTTCTCCCCTCACCTGTCCCTGCCGCACAAAGCCAGACCCTGGGGCTCCAATGCCCAGACCCAGTGTTGTGCCCAGCCACTCCCCGGGGCCCAGCCCAGTAGCTTCCTAAATCCAGCCCCTCCTGCTGAGATCTCCATGGGGGGCTTTCTCAACCCATGGCCAAGCCTTGACCCTGCCCTGCTGCTCTGGCCCAGTTCAGCTCTTCCTCTTGGCCACAGACATGATCCCTGGGAACTAGGCTGGGCTTCCCTCAATAAGATCTGGGCCTGGTGAGGCCTCAGCTCCTACCCTCAGGGCTGTCTCTGCCCATCACAGGGGAGAAAATTTGCGGGAGACACCATTCAATGTGAACGCAGCCCAGTTGGGGGGCAAAGGGAGGACACCCCAGGCAGCAAGGTCCAATCTGGGGCCTGGAATTCTTAGGCCCTCAGCCCTCACGGCCAGGGCATCCTTGAAGAAGGCACATCTGTCTCCTGGAGCAGAGAGGCCCTGGAGCCAGAGTCCTCAGAAGAGGCAAAAGTCCCCCCAGGACCACGTGGTGTCCATCTGGCCCTCCAGCTCGGGGTCTGAGAACAACCCAGGTACCTTGGAGGCCCCAGACCAAGGGTCATGCTGGGTCTCCGTGCCCCACTCCACCCCGGGAGTACAGGGAGCCCAGACGCTGACTCCATAGAAAGAAGGAGCCAGTTGACCAGGAGCAAAGTCTCAGGGATGGACAGTCCCCAGAAGCCAGGGATGGAGCAAAAGGCCCCTCCATAGCTTTCCTACCAGGAAGGCAGCAAATTGTTGCTCACAGGCCTTTCTAGCAGGATGGTTCTGCCAGTGAGAGTACTCAGACATCACGCTCATGCCTGCTTCCTATGTGTGTGTGTGAACATGGGTGTTCATATGCGTGTGTGGTGGGACCCCTTGCCATCCAAAGACAGGGTGTCTCAGGGCAATCTAGGGGAACTTTGCTTGGAGTTGAGTGATGCCCCCCATACATGCAGACCCTGTTCTCCCTCCCTGCCCTAACTCTGTGTCCTCAGAATCTTCTGGCACAGCCTGGAGTAGGCACTGCGTCTGTTAATGAACAGCCAGGGAATCACTGCTCGGAATGTAAAGAATGGGGTTGAATTTAACAAACATCCACCCAGCCTTCTCCAAGAGTTTTAAGTAGGGGAGTCATATGGTCAGTTTTGCATTTGAGAAAACTCCTTTCTATGCAAGGTGGAGAGTGAAAAGGGCCTGCAAAGGCTGGAGAAAGCAGAGAGGCTGCTGCAGTGGCTACAGCTCCAGTAACAGGGCTGCATCAGGGAGTGGCAGTGGCAACGGATCTGAGCCCTGTGGTGGAGGTGGAAAGACTAGGGTGTGGTTGCTAGAGCACAGTGACTAGCTGGAAATGAGTGCTCAGCAAGGGGTGGAGGTGATGCCCAGGTCTGTGGCTTGGGCTCTGGGTGGGTGATAGTACTTCAGAAGAGCCAGAGAGAGACATCTAGAAGGTTGGAGGTGTGTGCGCATGTGCATGCGTGCGTTTGCATGCATGTGCGTGCATGTGTGTGTGCACATGTGTGCGTGTGTGTGCATGTGCGTGTGTGTATGTGTGTGTGTGTGTTGAAAGGAGAGCAGACAAAGGAGAGGAATGAGGGACCAGGACACAGCCCCAACACATACAGGTCCTCCAAAGGAAGAGGAGGCAGGATGGAGCCGGAAGAAGAAATCCCAGAAGAGTAGGGTGCCCCAGGAACCAAGGAAGGAGAGATCTGAGAAGAGGTGGGCAGGGAAGTCACTGCTGTGACACCCCCTCCAGCCAGTGACCCCCTGGAGCTGCCCAGCCTCCACCCTCAGCCCCCAAGCCCCAGGCTCTGCCTTCCTCACCGGAGCATCCCCCACTTCCCTAAAAAGCCTGGGGAAAGGCAAGGACTCCCTGGGCCGAGCTTTGGGAGTGCTGAGGGAGGGGGATGAGCAGGAAGGACATCAGGTGACAAACAGGAGGAAAACACATCTCCAGGGTCAAAGTCCCAAGCTTTAGAGCAAAACAAGTTGTTCCAGAAAAGGGGGGTGTGGGTGGACACTTGGCTTTGAGGCTGGTCCCCGCTCCCTGGAGGTCCTCACGCGGCAGGGGGTCATCTCTCCAGCTGTATGGACACAGCCAGAGTCCCCATGGTAACGAGGTGGCCCCCCTGCTGGTTTGGCTTGGATCCAGGCTCTGGACTCAGGTCTCAGCAGCCCCACAGGGCTGGACCCTGCGTCCTGAGCAGCTGTTCCATCAACACTCAGTTCCTCCTTCCTGTTCCCAGCCCAGCTCTGCCACCCGGAATCAGCAGGCCCTTTAGAAAAGCCCTCCATCCCACTAGACCTCGTGTGAATACTGTTCAGAAAAGCCAAAGTGGGCCTGGATCGCGGCCAGGAGTCTCTTCCTCTGGACCCGCCTCGTCTGCCATTCCATTCCAGCTGCTGCCAGCAGGTGGCAGTGTCTAGCTCCAATCCCCACTGGTTGGGGAGGGCAGGGGGGCCGTTTGCAGCTGAAGATTTTGCAACTTCTCCTTCCAGCCCGCTTTTCCACGCCTCTTCCAGGGGTGATTTGGAGAAGAGAAGGTGGACATTGATGTGTCCATAGTCAATGGTGCTAGGAACAGCGCTGATGACATGCTCAGGGCTGCGATGTAGGGCAGCGTGGAGGCCTGCATTGTTAAGGCAAGCGCCCTGGAGGAGGTGATGGGTAAACAAGTTAGGCAGATTGTTGGGCTGGGCAGACTGCTTGGGATGGGGCATCCAGGCAGAGCTGAGCCTGAGAAAAAGGGAGACACTTTGAAGAAACATGTTTAGAGCACAGAAATGAAAGCTTTCTCCACTCATTCTTATAATATTTCATCTCATTAGTATCTTTGCTGGAAGCCTGAGAGCTCCTGAAGACCTTGCTTTATTCAGTCTACCATATCCTGCTTTAAGCCTTTAATGGCTTCCATCAGCACTTAAAATACCATGTAAACTTGTCTGGAAGGTCTTGAAGACCCGGACAATCTGTCCTTGCCCCTCTCTCCAGCCTCATCTGGCCCCAGTGCTTCATGTCACTTCCTAACAATAACCACACTCTTCCTCACTCCCTCTTCCCTCTGCCTGGAATGCTCTGCCCCTCAAACTAATCCTCCAAGTCTTGCTTTAAGCCTGGCATGGTGGCTCACGTTTGTAATCCTAGCACCGTGGGAGGCCGAGGCAGGAGGATCTCGAGCTCAGGAGTTCAAGACCAGCCTGAGGAAGAGCAAAACCCAATCTCTACTAGATATAGGAAAAAATTAGCTGAGTGTGGTGACACACACCTGTAGTCCCAGCTACTCAGGACACTGGGGCAGGAGGATCTCTTGAGCCCAGGAGTTTGAGGTTGCTGTGAGCTAGGCTGATGCCACAACACTCTAGTCTGGGCAACAGAGCAAGACTGTGTCTCAAAAAAAAAAAAAAAAGTCACTTTCCTCAAGAAGACTTCTTTGGCTTCCCTTCTCCTCCAACCGAAGTCACTCCCTCTTATGAGCTTTCTCTGCTCATCTCCATGGCTATCATCACAAGTTGCAATCACCTATTGATTTGTATGTTTACTCACTCAACATCTGTCTCCTGGGAGGGAAGGTATCATGTCTATTTCACCCCTAGCACTTAGTACTGAGCACAGTGCCTGAGGACACAATGGACAAATATTCTATGAAATTAAACCTCAGTATATGCATCCCCCACCCCGGCCTGGCAAAGAGCAGAAGCTCAGGGAACGATCGTTGAATGAATAAGACATTTTAGCTCTAGATGGGTCCTTGTCTCTCCACCCTCTAGCTGTGGGGCCAGGTACTGGGTCTGATTCATGTCTGTGTGTGAATGAGAGGACATGGTTCCCATTCCTGGGAGAGTTGGAGCTGACCAGCCCTGAAAGGAGGGCGTGCAGAGGGTGAGCTCTCCTTCCCGAGAAGAGGGAGAGCAGAGGCCGAAGACCAGGTCATCCAATGGGGGCATCTGCAGAAGGGATCTGTCTTAGTCTGTTGGTACTGTTTTAACAAAATACCTTAGACTGAGTGATTTATAAAGAACAGAAATTTATTTTATCACATTTCTGGAAGCTGGAAAGTTCAAGATCAAGGCGCCAGCAGATTCCATGTCTGGAGAGAGCTCTCTCTGCTTCCTACATGGTGCACCTTGCTGTGTCCTCCCATGGCGGGAGAGATGGAAGGGCCAAAGGGACTTGGGCACTCCCTCCAAGCTCTCTTATGGGAGCACTAGTGCAGTCATGAGGGGGGAGCCCTCCTGACTCACCCCTTCCCCAGAGGCCCCAGCTCTGAACGCCATCACCTTGGGGCTTTGGTTCCCACATATGAGTTTTGGAGGGACATACATCCAAACCAAAGCAGGGCTATAGCCCTCCCAGCTCTGGAAGCCTGTGCTTCTGTGACTCCATTAACAGAATGTGAGGGATTTTCACATTTTAGTTAGTTTCTGAGGAAGCAGGTTGACCAAGACTGTGGTGAGCTCCTTTCCTCTCAGACCTAAGATTTCGCCCACCTGGTCCCCTCCATTCCACCTGCCCCAACAGAGGGCCGATGAGCAGAACACAGTGACTCATCAACGTGGACGGGGAAAACATGACATCTGTATTTCACTAATCTCTAAAATTTACCATTTTCTTCCATCAGGAATGAAGGCAATAACCCACAGTCCCTCTGTGATATTTTCATATCACCATATAATTATTGCAGATATCTGGATATATCATTTATGCTCTCCCTTATGGAAGTACAATAATCATGTCTTTGAACACATTATAAAGA